CTTACTGCGCTAAGTAGCAGCCGTTTTTGGAGCAGACATGTCTTACTAATTAAGAGGACCTAAACTTCAGAACACAAACTGTACCGACACTTTCTCTACTACAGGAACGAAACAGACCTCAGGTCGCCTCCGAACGGCGAATAATACAATAGTCCGGAAATGTTTTTTCAAATTCATGCCCCTGGTAAGTGTTTCATTTCATCCGTCCAGTGTCCAAGTTTTGATGGTGCCTTCCATCGACAACACAAGCCGCCAAGTTCTCCTGAGCAAAGAATACTTCCTCTGCTCTTCATTTCAACGATTCGACAAATCTTTTGTCTCTCGCCACTTCTGCTGATACGTATCTGATGTCAATTCTTTCCATCGTGAATACCGCTTGAACACTCCAACTTTTCTTTGAGATTACAGCCACATAGTCCCATTAAACCAGATTGAAGTGACCTCCGAGACCTGAACTTCGCTCGGTTGTATACAATTTAGTGGTTTCAGGAGCTAGTGGTGTAATATAAGATCTTCAATGCGTTGTCCATGTACTATTGAATGACAGTTTTCTCGCCCCGCGCGGTACATTTTTCCCTCGGGAGCCTCTCGACCAATTGGAAATAATTGCACTCACAGAATGCGAGTTGAAACGATTTTCGGGGGCCTTCCGTGCATGCGCTCCCTCACCCCTTGCGTGTCACCCTCGCGCGCGCCCGTTCTCTCTTTAGCCCGCTACTTCCAACTGCCTGCTCACGCAGGCTACTTTGGAGTTAGAAATTTTTTCCCCGACATATAACGACGTAAACATTTTTTTCAGCATTATACGTCATGAGCGATGTTTTTTCAGTACAGGATATTTTTCTCCCAGGAATTTATTTGCATGCTTTTTCCCTCTCGAAATCAGTCTGAAATCAGTTTTTTCTGAAATCACCGATAAGCCCCTCAAAAGTCAAATGGTCGGCCCCTAAAATCCACCAAACATTTGGTCAGTTGACTGATTCTGATTTGTCAATCATTTCTAAAGGCTTTTTTTGAAACTCTCTAGGAGGGAGGGGAGGACTTCGTTTCTACTTACCCCTAACCGGAAAGTCCGGATGGACGGACGTACAGTGACGTCATAACCAAATTTTCTCGGATGGATAGTTTACCAAATTTTATTACTCACATGCTCCCTGCGCGCCCTTCGCCCCCTTGGAGGCTCCGCTAAGACGCGTCCTCTTAGGTAAGTCGCGTCTTAATGTGCCGTTTGTACGGGATAGTTTGCGTCTTATTTAGGACACGTCTCATTTTTCCTCGTATAAATGGCCTTAACATAAAGGACAATCAATTGTGGGCTTTAAGCGAAACCGTTCAAAAAATTTCCAAAATCACCTATACGGCCAGCCAGTTCTCACTTTTGACGAGCGCCAAATTTTCATTGAACGTTTAAATAGAGTTACGCTTCAACATAATAAAGAATTTATTGTGTTTATTTTTTTTATTGAAGGGTTTTTTATAACGATGTGTAATCTTAAAAAGTGTTTGATATGCGCGGCATTTTGAGTTAACTCCTGCAAGCTATATTCATAAACGACTGAAGACAAACGGCACAGCGATTAAAATTGCAAGAAAGACTACTAACAATCAATAAAAGAAATATAATTCGGTGAAACATTCACAGAGACAGCAATTTTCATTCACGAAGACAAGTATTAAAGTGTTTCTTAAAATCCTGAGTCTTAAAGCTAATATAGCCTATATCAAGTTTATGTTTTAAGCCGGCCTCCTGGTGTTTGCTTTTCTCAAAGATGAACTCGAGCCGAGAAAATCGCTCAAAGTTTTCTTTTTACAGCCAATTTATAACTAAATATTCTTCGGGACGTTTTTTTTTCTATTTGTGGTGAGAAAATATATCTTAAGGCCTTTTAAAGTTCTGTAATCAATTGATCAATCAATCAATCTTTATTCTCCTAAATAAAAAGACTTATCTTAAGTTACATGCATCTGCAGTTGAGAATCTAAAAATAAATAAGACATACTGTATACAAATAAAAAGATAAAGATACATAAGACATACTGCATGTATACAAATAATAGAAAGATCAAAGATTATATGTAAAAATAATCCTATTTACAAAGACATTCTTAAATCTATCAGTCTTCATATCCGGGCGATGAGCACTTTTGTTTCTGAGTAGCTGACTTTGTTTCTCTCTTTTTCGGAATGATGTTACTGAGCGGGTCCGGGATCCACTCAACGTACCTTGAAAAGCTTCTTATCTGCCTTTTCTAAAAGTTCTCGAATGTCCATTTTCTTAGATGTGTATTTCCTTTTAAAGCATCTATCCAGGAAGTTTTGTATGACCGTGGGATCTGAGTCTACAGCGCCATAAACAGGCAGACCATAAGTAAAATTCGGTAAAATTAAGGCGCTAAATAGGTGGTCCACTTCACCTTGACTGAAACCTTCCTTCCGTAAAGATCTTAATACAAACAGACACTTATTTGCCTTAATCAACTTAGCACGTACGTGTTCGCTATATTTACAATTCTCTTGAAACGTAACGCCTAAAATGGGCAGCTCCGTGCATTGCGGAATGTTATTAACTTGCGCAATATCCTGAATAAAACTTAAGCTTATATCAAACCTGATACTAGGTCAGATCATTGTCTCAAATCTTACAAACGTGCATAAACTTGCCTCATAAACTGTGCTCGACTACATGAAATTAGATATAAAAAAACAAACAACAAATACAATAATTACTCAGGCTTACCATTCGAGATGCAGCTCCTGAAAGCTATCAAGTAACGCGAGAATCGCTTGAGAATTTTGAATCCTCTTTAATTAATACGCATCAACCAAGGTGAAAAACGAAAACGATGCCATCCGAAATCGGATTTCCGACTTTGACAAGCGCCGCATCTCTCAACCAAAAAACCAATAAACAAACTAGCCATGAATAACAGAAGACTCTTGATAGCAGCTGTATTTCATTTTGTACATCCAGTGGAAAAAGACAGTTAAAAACATCACAAGTTGACAAAAAACTCTGTCAGCTTCAGCTGTCAAAGTAAACAAGTTTCAAGATGCTGCATAAATTTTCCGCATGAACTCACCTGTCAAATTTTGACCAATCAGAGCATAAAAATTGGACGTACAGCGTGACCAACGCCTGACCTGGGTAAGAAAAGGTCTTCTCAAACTCATTAATAATTCATAAAGAAAATTCAAAGGAAATTAATGTTTAATGAGTGTTTGGATATCTGATAAAAAACTGCTCATTTTTGCATCCTTAATTTCTCCTTCAAAAATGATTTTGTTTGAGAAGAAATATCAAACATTCGACACAGTGTTTCATCATCAGATGAAACACCTCGAAGTTCGTCAAAAATACTCCGCTGCGCGTCGTATTTTCAACTCTCTTCTCGGTGTTTCATCTGGTGATGAAACACTGCATCTCATGTTTGATATATTACTTCCCCGCCTGTATTTTTAAACAACTGGCTGAATGTTCGCATACATGGTTAGTTTGAAATCAAAATCTTAATAGTGCGGGGCCATCATGACATAAACACAGCATAGTTCATATAAATTTAAAAAAAAAATAAACTTGAGCTTGCGATCATTTGATCATTTAACTTGTCAGCGGATAACTTAAAAAAAGTACTCGACCCCGATGGGTCGACACCTAAGCCCGCGATACGGTCAGGTGATACTGATCAGCGGATACCTTGTTTTGACAGCTGTCAATTGATCACAACATTGATGTGCAATCAGTTTCCTCCTAGGCTCCCAAAGTAGTTAGAAAATGTGAAAGTAAACATTGGTTTTCCTGTGGTGCGGACGGACGGTCGAGCGGTGTACGGTCACGTGATTACCAAATTTTCTGGGATGGGTAGATTTACTAAGCTATGGGGCTCCGCCATGAGGAGCGAGAGTCAAAGATCGCGCGAAACATGGCGCCCTCTTTCACTTTTTGGCTCTCGTTTCACTTCTCGCGCGGCCAAAACCGAAAATTTCTCTTATTGCTCCCGAAACCAAACGGAAACGCTTGCTGCGCAGGCTACTTGGCCTCTAACAAATTTACTTATAAAATTACACTCTCGTGGTTTGAGTTATGACGTGATAAGTTATAGTAGTTCTGACAGCTCAGAGCTGGCGCTTTAAAAAAACGGTTTTCGTGAACCCATTTAAAGCACCTGCAAGGATCGCAGTCTAGTAACTCTGATACAGGTGGCCTCATGAAAGTACATGTAGTTGAATCTCCTTTGAGGAGAGAAACCGAGGCATAGGCGAGTACATCTTGGAGTTGTTGCGCGTTTTTTGTAAAGTTCGACGTGCTTACACAAGGAATCTGTTTACTACTTCTTAGTTATTTAAGTCATTGCCTTTTTCGTATGAATCTATTTTCAGGCAATAAAACGGAGTGCGTCCAACATAACACCATAGACGATGACTCGAGATATTACAACTACTACCAGAGTTACGGTAGCTCCAAATGTGACCAACACTTACCAGAGGGCTGGTATAGGTTTGTGACGCGAAAACTCATGAACACAAATTGTGGTTATTCAAGTCACTATTGTAACACAGATCACCCTGGCTGGTTAAATGGAAACCACCCGTCTGTTGAAGAGGGTGTCGTTACTCGCCAAGTCTGCTTTAACTCTGGCTCGTGTAGTTGTAGCTACAGCACAGATATCAAGGTTTTGAATTGTGGTTCGTTCTACGTGTACAAGCTGAAGCCAACACCGACTTGTAATCTTCGCTATTGTACCCAATAATTGCGTTTTTAGATACTGTCTTAGATTTTAGTTAGCTTTTTCCACTAGCTGTTCTAGGTTTCCTAGACTTAGTCAAAAAGAAATTGAAAGTATCTTTTTTTTTAGAACGAAAGTTGCTCTCTTCCGTTATTCAATCAGCATCGAAGAAGGTGCTTGCCTAATAGTGTAACCAATTGCACAGTTGTTTGTAGACCCATTCGGCTAACTCAATGTTGTACCCAATTCAAATCTCCCGGGGTTAAGGGCCTTTTTACATGGAGGTGGGGAACCCCAGGTAGGTGAGGTAACATGTGGCGGGTCACCCTACATATAATGTAAGCGTGATCAAATTGAAATGAGAGATTATATGGACAGGCGGGTTACCCCACCCAAGCGGGTTACCTCACCTTCCTGGGGTCCCCCACCTCCATGTAAACAGGCCCCAAGATTCTTTGTGTATTGTATTTGTGTTATATATACGTGGCATTCACATTTAAATGATATGGAAATTCCCGAAACAAAACGTTTTATTCCCAAATGGTTTGAATTGGGTACAACATTGAGTTAGCCGAATAGGCCTATTGCGGCTGGTGTAATAGCCCACACGTTCGTGTTTCCGTCGCTGAGTTTTTGGCGGAATTGTACCACTTTTTTATTCGTTTCCGTCAAATTTCCGTCTAAGGAAACACTTGTTACCGCAAGCGTAAATGCGTGGCATCCTTGCGGAAACACGCGAAAACGTTCCGGAAACAAGTCAATTTCATGTTTCCGTCAACATAATCGGATAGAAACTATTGCGGAAACACGAGTTTACGAGTCGGGGACTGGTGTTTTCGAGTTATTTCCATCGTGAAAGAAGGGCTCTTCACCATCTTGGGGTGGTTTTCCCGCCATCTATAGTAGTAATGGAGTTTCCTTTTTAAGACAGTGGCTCATCCCCAGTTTCCTGTCTACTCATTTTATTATTATGCCTTCAATTAATTCTAATTTTTTTAGAAATTCCTGAAATGTTATATCTCCACCATATTTCATCTTATCAAGGTTGCTATTGTTGTCGTTGTTATTTTCTAAAATAAATCCCGGTGTTTCTTTACTTAATTATTTTGTCTTCATCCGAAAACGACTTTCGTAATAATAATAATAATAATAATAATAATAATAATAATAATAATAATAATAAATCATTAAAGATTCAGTGAATTCCACCTGCAAACAGACGGATATGACTATTCCATCAGATATAAACATCGCACTGAAGAAAATCGAAAAGAATTAAGCAAGTAGACCTAGAACTAGAAATACAGAGAATGTGGCATATGAAAACCTCAGTGCATTCCCGTGGTTGTTGGTGCCCTTAATTGTAACTGTCTGAATTAAACGGGAACCCCCGTACCCCTTTAAAATTACCAAATAAATTGAGATAAACGAGTTGGAAATAGAGGGGGAGAGGGAGACTTAAAAATTCCTGTTTCAAGGAATCCAAGGAAAGCCAAATTCACCCCACATTATGCATAGTCCGTTATACGCAGGTAGTTGTATAAAGTGTATTCACTGCACTCTGTGAGCCCCACTAGTGATACCAACACATGAACAAACCTAGTTGCATGGAATATATTCTCACCCACCTTTTTTCCATAAACCCAGGTCGATAGATGGTATTCTATCGCAAGTAATTACCTCTTGGCCTGTCTCAAAAATCTCCGATAAACTTGGCCAGCGAGCTTTCTTTTCTTTATGGAATCCAACTGTTCTAATGCATGTGAATCCTGTGCAAGAGTCGTTTCGTTTATACCAGAATCGGTCTCCAAGTCGAAATCTTCGGAAGCTGTCAGTTATCAGGCAAGTTAAAGTCTGTCCCAAAATGGATCCCGGTTGTGGGTTCTCAGTAATTACCTCCAACAAAGAGATCTATGTCAAAAGTCGAAATATAACTCTAATGATTCTATCACGCTTCTCTTTGTCGATATTTACAAGGTCTGAAAACTTTTTGGCAAGTCCTCCGGGAAGGTCAGTGTCCAATCCACAAAATTTCCGGAAGTATATGTAAGGAGCAAGACCATGGTCCCGACCCCGTTGAATATTGATCGCCATCAAGTCTCCCACGATTCCGTGAGGGGTTGGTCCTGTAGTCACAAGACTTCCATGCACAGCATTGAAAAAGTTCCTGGAGGAAAAAACAAACAGTTACTACAAATTGGCTCAGTGACTACAAAATGCGACCGTTACAAAAGTTTCATAAAATTGGGCTCTTAATTGTAGGCTCTAAGCCAATGAGAAAACAGATAGTTTGTATTAATGTTTAAGAAATAAGAAAACTTACGTGGTATTTTTTTTTTACCATGATGCAGGTCACAAGGTTTGGTCCCTTAAAAAGGATGAGAGTGAAACTGCGTAATTCCAACTACTTTAATCTCCATGCTCGATAATTTCCTCCACTCATGGTATATTTTCATCTTTTCCATTGACAACAAATATACTTCGGCATACCTATCAAATCTTTGAGCAGGTTCCGTTGCCAATCCCAAATTGATGCCATCGATTCCATTATTCCTCAGTCTGAGACGACGGGTCAAAGAAGCTTGTGGTAGCAACTTCTCCAAGCCTGAAAAATCCTCTACTAAATTGTCCAAAGCTGTCCCGTATTAGTGAATGACCCATTCTAAGTGCGGCAGCGGCAGCGCATTTCTGGTCGAAGCGTCAACATTTGGATCATAACCATTAAAATACTGCCCCAGAGGTTCTAATGTAAGGTTGTTGTTTCGTCTCTAAAATGAAAAAAAGTAAACAGATAATTTGGGGCTTGCATTTTGTTACATGCAACCTGCATATTAATTCAACACCTTTGGGTCATCACTGGGATGATTTGACTCCAAGACTCTCTCCTCCGTAAAGGCCTCTTTGTGTCACAGGGAGGCTGGGGAAAGGGAAACTGAAAGCGCACGGGGAACGACGGGAAGTGAACCGCAGCGGGAGCCTCTGCGGAGGAGAAAGGCTCCATGACTTTTCAGATACTGGTCAGGCGCTGTGGCCACTGAGCTACTAAAAGACTTCTGGTGAGCTATATATCAAAAGAAATGAAGGCTAGTGAATGACTTAAATCGCCACGAATCTCTGTAGCTGAGTGGCTGGCACGTCCCAACGGTTGCCGAGAAGGGCCATGGTTTCGGTTTCTACCCTGATGTACGGTGACTCAGAGAGGATAAACACAACATCATCTCGGAATGACCTATTGTGCATCACATTCTCACGTCTGACTACTACTTAAGGATACAGAAAACGATTTCAACAGTTTCAATTTGACGCTTGAAAAAGACAGGTTAGGATGATTTAATACTTACCACTTCTTCACTAAATAAAACGGGCAGCCATTCGTTGTAACTAATATGCTGAATTTGGGCAATCACAATTTTACGCGCTTCCTGGAACAGTCGTTCATCGTTCCATGTTGGATTTAAATGATGAAGAAACTTTGCGATTCGGTTATGTTCACGAACAAAAAGGATGTGAACAGTCATCAACGCTGTGGAGGGAAACAAAAGCAATGAGCACAAGGTGCCAGAGCGCATGCAACTGTGAATCGATGCAATATCGATCTATGAGCTCGAGTTACATGGTGCTTATTGCCCCAGCAGGGATTTCGCCCAGAAGGCGAAATCCCGAGGAGGCACTCTAGTAACTCGCGCGTATATTAACTAAGTACTTACAGCTGAAATATACAGTCAGTATGCCAGAAAAAATCTCGATTTGCTTAAACAGGGGCCGCGAGGAATCGGTAGGTAATGATGACGTTCCTATTGTAACGACAAGTACGAAACGACAAGTACGAAATGGTTAGGATGACGTAAAAACAGAAAATCCCGAAGGGACCGTTTAGGTAGATTTTATGACATTTATTGTGCAGTCATACTTCGATACTCTTTTGCGTTACCTGTTATCAGTGACATTCTGTGGAGCAGTTGATTTGAAAGTTATGGACCAAAAGACACTCGTTAAGCGCAGATGAAGTTTAAAGGTGCTTATAACTGTGTATATAAACTCTTGGAGAGTTTGCCAGACACGAGTTCACAAATCTTTGATTGGAAAGCTTGCCAGTCATTCTTTCTCTCTCTTTGACCGGAATCAGACTGGGTCAGCTCCAAACAAGCAAGGCGAGTGAACAACGGCTAGCTTATCACTAGCAGAACGATGGACGATTACAGAAATTTGCCGACAATCAAATTCTGTGCTGACTTATTCCCTGCTCACAGATGTCCTGCCACTATAAAGTTTAAAATAAGACTAGAATGCGCGAGCGTGGAGAATAGTCCAGTTTCGAATTAAAAATTACCGCTGAATACAAACATTTAGGACACATTCATACAGGGTTAAGGTTTCGTGAATCAGTGATGGGTCACATATGTGCATGGCTGCCATCTGTTTTTTGTCGTTCCCGGTTATCTTGGATGACTACTTCATGCTAAGAATCTTACAGTTATAATAGACCATCTGATGGGCTCCGTGGGTCAGTCATGGGCTGCCATTGGACCCCCTCATTTTACTTTTTCACAACTTTGCTTTCAACAATTTTACTCTTTCCACCGTTGGAGCCAAAGGTCAGACATGGGGCTGCTGTTGCTCTATATTTCATGTTAGTTTATGCTACATGGGTAACAGAGAAATACATAATAAATATAAATATAATAAATAATAAATATATAATAAATATATATAATAAATATAAATGCATATTCCTTACAACATTATGTATTATACAGTAAGCTTGAACGCGTTTAAACATGCTATAGGTCAGTCTGGTGGCTGCTATGGCTTTTCTGCGTTTAGGTTTCTAAAATCAACGTGGCACATGTGCCTACTCAATAATTATTTATTCCGTGAGCTCTCATTGTCGTTTTGGTGGGGCTGCCAAATTTTTGTGGCTTTTGGCGAATTTCTTGCCCCACCTTAGCTGAAAGTAACATACATTATTTAGTATTATTGTTGTTAACTAATGCGTCTGTTTTATAACCAATTAAACTGCCACT